GTTCTAGATCTTATAGCCATACATTTACCATGTAGAGCGTTCCTACCCCCCCCTCCAAAGGGCAACAATTCAAGTCCTGACAGACAACACTACAGTGCTGCTCTATGTCAAGAGACAAGGGGAAGTGAGATCATCTTCCTCTCCATCAGGACTATTTGTGACTGGTATATTCAACATCAGATCAATCTCATAGCTGTACATATACCAGGCTTTCAGAATCACTTAGCAGATCAACTCAGCAGAAAGTGCTCATTTAGTCAAGACTGGGTTTGTAGAGATTCATTGAAATCAATGGGAGTCAGAAGCCTAAATACCTTTGAAGATCTGGACCTCAGTCAAGTCTTCCTAAAAGAGCGTGTTCCTACAAGAGACATTTTTGCCACCAACCTGGAGAAGTATCAAGTTTTAATCCCACCAAGGCATAAACCCAGGCTCATTTTTGGATACATTTATGATCCAGTGGAACAGAAACCTGATGTCTACTCCTATCAATTCCATTAATTTCCAGAATCCTCGGAAAAGTATGACAGGACAAAGCCCCATTAATACTGTCAGCACCAGCATGGGCACATTAGTTCTGGTACAGAGAATTGATGCATCTATAAATTCAGCTGCCCATTACTCTTCCAGATTTCTGGACATTGTTTGAGAATCATGGTGTAATCCTACACCCTGGCCCATAGGCACTGACTTCCTGATTTCCCGGAGGATGCTCGACCCCCTCTCCATCCCAGGCCCCACCCCACTCCACCCCTTCCTCCAAGGCCCCACCCCCACCCCTTCCCGCCCTCTCCCCCAAGGGCACCCCATAGACAACTGGTGCCTCCCCATACTGGGGGGCCATGATCTAAAGGGGAGGTCACATGTCCCCCTGGGCCAGCCCCCCCCGCACCACTGCACTCTCCCGGCTGCATGTTACCTGCGGGGGGACGCTCTATCCTGCAACTGCACCTTCCCCACCCCACCCCCGGCACATTCTGCCACTCTCCCCGGAGGGAGGAAACCCAGGCAGGGAGTGGGAGGGAGCCACTTCTAACACCAGCCTCTCCTGGTTGCTGCTCTACTGCCCAACAGCTGTCTGAAAGAGCCTGGCTGGGGAGAGGTGGCTTCCATTCCCTGCCCAGGCTTGGCTGTCAGGGATAAGTGAGCCAGAAACTTGCTAGGAGGGGGTGAGGGCGCTCCGGCTCACCCACCCCCAGTCCCCAGCACATGAGCCGGGAGCGGAATCTGCCTCCCCAGCCAGGCTCTCTCAGGCAGCCGCCAGTCCACCACGCTGCAGAGTAGCATCCCAAAGGGGCTGATCCCACCCCTTCCACTCCCTGGCATCTGGGGCATGTGTTACCCAGCACTGCCCCCACGCCATTGTGTCCCCTCGCCCCCCAGCGCCGCCTGCAAGCTGCCAAACAGCTGATTGCAGGGGGTGGGAGGTGCTGGGGGGGAGGGAGAGGAATTGATTGGTGGAGCCCACCGGCGGTGGGAGGCACTGGAGGGGATGAAGAGGGGCCCGCCAGTGGGTGCTGAGCACCCACTATTTTTTTCTGTGGGAGCTCTAGCCCTGGAGCACCCACAGTTAGTTAGTGCCTATGCCTAGGTCCATCACCCGCACATCTGACAGCACAGATGCTAGCTGCTTAAGTGCAGTACGCAGGAGTCATTCTAGAGAGGTGCAAGATATTTTGACTCAGAGCAAAAAGTCTTTTACAAGGCTAACTGATATAGCCAAATGGCAAGATCTTTCATTTTGGGCTGCTCAGCAACAACTTCAATAGTTGGAGACATCTGTTCCTGTTATTCTGGATTATTTTATTTTTCTTGAAATGCTGAGGATTTTCCATATGATCAGAGAAGGTATATTTAGCTGTAAAACATGCCCATCACCATCCAATTTGGGATCACACAGTATTTTTGCACCCACATCTTTTAAATTTCTGAAGTATCTGATCCACATTTCCACTAGAAATATAACCCTGTCACGCTCAATTTGATGTTCCTGGCCCTCAGAGAAACCCAATTTGTGTCTATAACACTATGTTCCTTTTATCATCTCACATAGCTAGTAGGTCTTGTTCACACCCTCACGGTCATACTGATTATCATTTTTGGGGTCCAGAAGGAATTTTCTCCCAATTCAGATTGACAGGGACTTTTTTTTTTTTTTTGTGCACATTCCTCTGCAGCATGGGGTGTTAGTCACTTGTTAGGATCATCTGGGTACATCTCACCAAATCAATTCCCTGCCACTGCAGGGGTTGCAAGCATTGGTGCACCTCAGTCCTTCCTATTTTCTGCCTGTAGCACAAATAGTTTCCTGAAGGGTATAGTACCTGAGTCTAATCCAGGCTATTTGGCTCAATTCAAAGGTAGTTGGGTTAGTGGCCTGTGCCACGCAGGTCAGACTAGATCTGTTGGCCCCCTCTTGCTTTACACTCTGCTATCAAGAAAACATTTTTGTTGGTTTCTCTAAGAATGAGTGAGATTGAAGTATAATGGCAGGTTTCTCTTACACTATATTTCATGAAGACCAAGGTGATTCTAAGACCTCACTCAAAGTTCTTACTCAGTGAGCTCAGACTTTCATCTGATCGGTATATACACCTAATGTTCTTTCCCAAACTTCTTTTGACTCCTACAGAAGCAAAACGCCATATACCTGACTTGTTGAAAAGACTCTCTTACTACCTACATAGAACTACCTTCACAGAATCAGACCCTTCCAAAAGTCACCTTGGACACATGTAGTGTTTAGGGACAGGTCTAGAGCAGTGGATCCCAAACTTGTTCCACTGCTGGTGCAGGGAAAGGCCCTGGCAGGCCAGGCCAGTTTGTTTACCTGCCGCATCCGCAGGGTCGGCCGATTGCGGCTCCCAGTGGCTGTGGTTCACTGCTCCAGGCCAATGGGAGCTGCTGGAAGCGACGCAGGCTGAGGGACGTACTGGCCGCCGCTTCCAGCAGCTCCCATTGACCTGGAGCAGCGAACCACGGCCACTGGGAGCCGCAATTGGTCAACCCTGCGGACACGGCAGGTAAACAAACCGGTCTGGCCCACCAGGGGCTTTCCCTGCACAAGCGGCGAAACAAGTTTGGGAACCACTGGTCTAGAAGGCAAACTATTTTGACCCACAGACTCTAGAAATGCATATCAGATTGTATTAGATCTTCTGGAAACTAAATAAATTAGCTCCTTCTCAGATTAAAGCATACACAGCTAGGGCTTAAGTAACGTGTTTGATGAACATGCCTCTATCAGAAATTTGTAGGGCAGCCACTTGGAATTCAGTACATTTACTCAACATTACTCTCTAGTCACAGTTACTAGCCCTGATGCTCAATTTAGTAGTGCAGCCCTACAGTCTTACCATGGCACCCAACTTCTTAGGGAGACAGCTACTAGCCAATCATCTTCAGTGGGATTTAAGTGAGAAAAAATTAAAAGAAAAAATCATTAATTTGCCTTACAGTAACTTTAATTCTTCAAGGTGTTTTGTCCATATGCATCCCAGGACCCACCCTTCTTTGTTGCTACTGTGGAGTCCTTTAAACTTAGGATTCTATATTGGCAAAGGAACTAAGCGACAGTTGGACCCATTCATTTATATCTTCAGGAGAGGTGGGGGCTGGGTGGTGGTGCAGGACACATGCACGATACTGGTGGCCAAAAGACTGCTCTTACACATGACGTGTGTATACATCTATAGCAGGATCTAAGTGGACAAAACATCTCAAAGAATCAGAGTTACTGTAAGCAGCCATTTTTTAGCTTGAAATGAGCCTGGGAAAGTGAGCTGAATAAGGCTGGGAGCTCCTGGCTTCTTTTCTGGAGGCAAGAAAGGAAGGAGCACAGCAATTCCTAAGCTTCTAGTTCTTTGGGAGTGATGGGAGCAGATCAACTGGAGCCGGTACATTTTTTCACAGGAAGGGAAAATCAGATAGGGAACAGAGCAGCTCCTGAGCTGTTGCTAAATTCACAAGTGAGAAGAGAAAAGAAGCCTCTGATTTCCTACTTCTTTAAGGGTTGGAGAACAGAAAGGAAAAGCAAAAGGCTCAATTTCTGGAGAAAGAGCTGGGAGCAGATGGGTCCAGCATACTGGTAGCAACGTTGCACTAACTGATTGGAAGCAGCCCCAGCATTACATGATTTACTGGAAGTAAGTTTAGGTTGCCTCAGCACTGAATGAGGAAAGGTTGAGAAGAGGTTAGACTGGGATTAGCTAAAATGCATCCCCTAACCTCAACCTATTATCATTTTTCCTAGTCTAGACAAACTGTAAGACAGCCTGAGCACCTGACAGTTTATAATTGAGATGGTTCTGCCTGTGCACTATTCACAATTTTTCACACATTAAAAACCCTAAAGTGAGCTGTAGCTCACGAAAGCTTATGCTCAAATAAATTGATTAGTCTCTAAGGTGCCACAAGTACTCCTTTTCTTTTTGCGAATACAGACTAACACAGCTGTTACTCTGAAATCTAAACAAAACAGCTTGGGTTGTAAATATTTAATCCTGTCATGAGTGCAGGGGACTAGACTAGATGACCTCTCGAGGTCCCTTCCAGTCCTGTGATTCTACCTTAAACTTCCGGAATTCACACTAGTTTAACTCACCACTTTAAATGGAAGAAAGTATCATATCTTTGCTTCTGTGGCCTGGCCCTCAGATCTTGTGGCCCTACCTCCTAATCTGAGAAACAGCACAGCCTTGGCTTCTTTAAACTAAACAGGAGCAAAATCTTACTAGTTTTTCAAGTTCTTTGAGTGGGCTCTGAGTGACTTGTAGGGTGGCAGTTTTGTTTTTATTGGACAAGTTAAGTGTCACATTTCAGATCCAACTAGGGGAGCTGGAACAATATTTTACAGTGCAGGTGCTGAAAGCGAAAACCATGCATTTAGTTTTTATTACTACTTCAAGCCAAGGGATGCAGCACTCCCAGTTCCAGCACTCCTTGATCGAAGCAGAAGAAAAGTGCAGTTCTTCTAAGGTCAAAACCACAGCACTCCAAGCATGCAAGGCTGTCTCAATCTGAACGTACCGACTGTCACACTGAAAGATACAGTAGAACTGCCCCAGCTTATTCCTCCAGAGACTGTAATACTGAGTCCCGCCGCCCTCAGAAAAGGCATCTACCCCAACTCCCCCCTCCCCAAGACATGGTTGCTACACCCCACGCCTGGCAATTACCTCCCCCAGAAGGACTCGCCCCGCAAAGCCTCCGCCCTTGACCCTCCCACGAGGCAGTGTCCTCCGCACGCAGAATGCAACACACACCCCGCCTCCAGTCCCTGCAGACCCTGGAACGGATGCGGGCGGACGGGCGGTCCCAGCCCCCGCTATAGCTCAGGCCTAGCGGGAGCTTCCCCCGTGAACACGCCTCCCGCCCGCTCCCTGTTCCGGGTGCCCCTTGGGCCCGCCCCTGCCGGGGACTGCGTCGCCGTCAGGAAGGATCCCAGCGAGGGCTTCCCGCAGCCTGAGGGAGACTCTCTGGGCGCCTGCGTTACGGGAGCCGGAGCGGCCCGCGGACAGCAGCAAGCGCCGCCCCGTGACTCACGCGGGAGCCGCGGGTGGACCGGCCCGAGCGGGCTGCTCGGCCAGCGCGCAGAGGACAGTCACCGCCCCGGCCGCCGGTGGGCGAGCGGCTCCCCGCGCCAGGCCCTGCCGCCTCCCGGGCCTCCAGCGCCTGCTTGCCCCGCAGAAAAGCGGCTCCCACTGTCCTCGCGCTTGAGCCCCGTCCCCGCACGTTACTCCCGAGCCGACCCCTGGGTCCTCAGCTCCCCGCAGCCGGGCATCCTGCTCCGTCCCGGCCGCGGTACCGGCCTCCTTGGCGGCCGAGCCCGGCCTACGCACCCGCGGGCCCCACCCCCTTCTCGCGGCCCGCCCTGCCGGCTCCCTCTTCCCCCCACCCCCTCCGTGCCCCATCCAGCCCCACTGAGCATGTTCCTGTGGGTTGCTTCCTTCCCTGTACAGGGCAGCCGGGGCACCTATGTCATTGCTACTCCCCCTCGCTGAGGCTGCAATGCGCACGCGCACCCCTAGAACGCGTGCTCATCAACTGCCTTTCCCTTAACGGCTGGAGCCGCCTCGTTTCTCTTTCCCCACGATTTAAATATGCTAATGAAGGGTCGTCGGGAGTCCTATGGCGGAGCAGGAAGGCGGTCACGTGGCTTGCGGACGTGCCTGTAGGGGGCGGCTCCCGACCTGCCCAGGCTGCCTTAAAAGCGGGCTGCGAGCGAGGAAGCGCCTCAGTTAGAGAGCGAAAGTGCCGGGGTGGGTGGGTTGTGGCTGCTCTGCCTGAAACTTCTGAGTAACATCAACAGGGGGGCCAGCGGCGGCAGCAGCCGTGCAGCCCTGTCCGCCTTCTCCTCATAAACCAGCCCGTGCAGGGCTCGAGCGGGCCCCTCACACAAAGGCGAGCAGGGCAGCTCCCTGGAGGGGAGGGCAGGGGGGTGGTGGCGGAGAGGCGCTCCTCCCTGTGCAGAGCACTCACAGCTCCTACTGCCCGCCCGTCCCCCGTGTCTGCCCCCCGCCCCCTGTCCATGTAGCCGCCGGCCCCGCTGCTGCTCCGCACTATGCCCATCTTACTCTTCCTGATAGACACGTCCGCCTCCATGAACCAGCGCACCCATCTGGGCACCACCTATCTGGACATAGCCAAAGGCGCTGTAGAGACTTTCATGAAGGTACCGGCTCTGCCTGCGACAGGCGGCGGCGAGGGGGGGGGGCGCCGTGCCGGCGCGGGGCTGGGGAGGGCCGGGCGGGGGCTCGCATGTGGGGCGCTGCTGCTGGCTCCCTCGGGTAACCCTGCGCTTTGTGCCCGCAGCTCCGCGCCCGGGACCCCGCCAGCAGAGGAGACAGGTACATGCTGGTCACTTTCGAGGAGCCTCCCCACGCGATCAAGGTAACCCCCGTGAATCGCCCTCCTCCCCCCGGGCCGGGCTGCCCGCCCCTCCCCCGCGCTCCCGGCGGCGCAGCGCAGCTCGCCCCGCACAGGCACACACAGGCTCTGGCAGCGGCGGCGGCGCTGACATCAACATGGCCGACATTTTTCCTGTGCGGTGTGTGAGCAGCAATGGACTGTGGGGGATATTGATTCAAGTTAGGAAAAGTGACAGCAACTCCGAGGCGAGTTCGGCTGCAAGGGGCGGCGAGGAGCGGTACCTGCTTCGCGCCGGGCAGCCTTGGCTGGGCGCTTCCCCCTCGTCGTGCGTGGGGACCCGGAGCCTCCACATGACACATCAGAAGGGAGCCTGCTGTAGGTCATTGACCGGCCCCGTCCGCTGCCGGGGACCAGGCTCTGGTTATTCCAATGACCCGCAGTAAGTTGTAGGCTCACTCTTTGGACCGTGAAACCAAACGCTGATATTCTGCTGGGTGCGGGACAAGGGGGCGTAAAGGCTTGGGGGAGGGATGGGGGGAGCTTTGAAGCCTTTAGAACAGAAGAGGTTCTTAGTTACTTGTAAGATGAGTTAGTAGTTTGGGGGTTATTTTTTAACCACATGCATGCAAGAGAGGAAGACACCATTTTTGTAATCTGTAACAGAAAAGGCTCTCCTTGTGCATAGCTAACATCTGAAGGATAAGCATTCTTGCCTTTCTCTTTGCAGGCTGGCTGGAAAGAAAACCATGCAACCTTTATGAATGAATTGAAAAACCTTCAAGCTGAAGGACTTACGACTCTTGGCCAGTCTCTAAGGACAGCTTTTGATTTATTAAACTTAAATAGATTAGTAACTGGCATAGACAACTATGGGCAGGTAGGTTGAATATAAACAGGGGGAAAACCTTTTAAAAAAAAAAACAGACAAACCCTTTCGGAGACCACAAATGAGTAGTTGAGCAAAATAACCTCTATTCATGAAATATGAAGTATAAAACATAACAGGAGGGCTACTGTACAAATAAACAGTGCTTAGACAATTGAGAAACCCATTACTACGATGTTGTTTTGTACCCAGCTTTAGTTCAGTTTTTATTTTATATCAGGCTGAAACTTCAAGTTTTTTAAACACAAATGTAGGCATTGATTTTTTTTTTCCAGTTCACACATGTCAGCTTTTGGTATATTTATTATGATCGAGATAATGAAACCTTATATTTCAGCACATTAGCCAATTGCATGCAGAAGTCATGAAGATTTTTTTCTCTTCCATGTACAGTGGTGCACAATCAGTTGAGTGCACTTTGAGGCTTTAGCTTTCCTCTGAAGTACACTTATTAGCCACTGTGGGGACCAAACTATTGGGCTAAATGGAGCAGAGGTTTAATCTTACATGTCAAATCTTCTTTTACTCATTAATTAGACCACTGCTTTTGGTCTTTGCATACCCCCATATCATTCAATCTGTTTCCCTCATATGAAAGTCCTGAAAAGCTCTGGCTTCATTGACAGCCTGTACTGGAGCTGCCATCCTTCTGGCTCAGAAGGATTTGAACAGGACTTCTTTTGGAGTGTGTCAACATTACCTTTTAATCAACAGTATGGGTCACTGTAGAACAAAGAGGCACTCCTTTACCATTCTCCCTCAGGTTGAGTGTATGCCCTAGAAACGCTCTCAGTTGCTCTTGGCCTGAAGAGTAAGAGACTGGGACTATGAATCCAGCCCTAGTTTTGTTTTGCATAGTAGTGGAGAGCATTACCAGAGGGTACACATATTAAATGTATATTGTGCACTTTTTAGCCTCACATTTCCCCTTTTTATTTTCTCCTGTGACATAACGCCCTCTGAGAGGAAGAAAGACTGTTGTTGCTTGTTTCACTAGAGAATGAAATAAGTTGCTTCAGCCAAACGCTCTGAGGCTGAGCATATTGTCTCTGCGTTACCATGTTCTGCTTGTGTAGGAGGAAAAAAAAAGTGTTGCACTGCCACTAAACTACCAAGTCACCCTAAACATGTTTTTGAATGCAATCCTAGTAATGAAACTTTGAAATGTACCAATTCCACACACACAGCTAATCTCTTTAGTCTGTTTCCATGCGTTGCCCTCTTATAGGCCTATGTGCATTCACCTGTTTTTCTGCTTTCCTTCATTCCAGTTTGTTAGGTCAGCCTTACGAAGTTTTCATGAAAATTTACCCTCCCAGGTGCAAACCCCCCCCCGCCATATCCACCCTTTGCCCTGGTTATTGATAATTAATACAGCAGTGATATTCATCCATAAAACATTACATGCCCTGGGTGAGTCAGCTATGCTCACTTAGTCTTTTTTAACAAGTGGGCAACTGAGTTTATGCCATGGCTCTCATTGGCTGGTTATACGTTGAAGAATGAGTGCTTTTTGTTGTCTTTTGAGCATCTGCATTGTTTTCATTTGCGCCTGGTCTGTCTTGTCCTTAGATCTTTGATTCCAGGTCTCTTTCTGACCTCAGAAACACCCTTACTCTTCTAGATATTATAAGTTGATAACTTCTAAACAAAGTTTATCAGATACTTCACACTGTTCCATGTGTGGTGGACTTAGCAGAAGAGAGTGGTTTCTGGTACATGCAAATATTCACTCACATGATTAAACAATCTTTTCTGAACTTTTCGGTGTCCTTTACAAAAATAGATGTCTGTGTTAAATAGATTTGTTCTGCTAGATCCTGTGCTGCTGAAGTCCCTCGTTCTCATTGTAGCACCACTATCAGACTAGAACTTTTTCATAAATTAGACTAAAATTTCAGCAAAAACAACGAGGAGTCCTTGTGGCACCTTAGAGACTAACAAATGTATTTGGGCATAAGCTTTCGTGGGCTCACTGGAATTCACTTCTGGTACTGAACTGGTCCTTGAAGTTCACATTGGCCAATAAGCAATACATATTGCCGTCCTGTCAACTTACATCAGCAATGGGAAGATCCACCGTTAAACTACTGTTCTGAAAATAAACATATTAAAATTTACATGTTGCAAAGGACATGGGAATAATTCAGAAAGACAAAGGTGGTAAGAATACTCAATTGTTGAAATATTGGAGACAGTAGCTTACTCCTACTCATCTAATTTTTTTAATGAAACACTTAGGAAAAAATTTTTACACTGAGACTGCTTGAATAGCTCAACCAGTCTACTTTAGCTGTAGCTAAAGTTACTCTTTCTTGGGTTCAGAAGACAGGATGATTTACAAATAAACAAGATCTAATAGGTATTCGAGAAGCTACTACCTGAACCATACAAATATTTTTTAATGAAGCATTTGGGAAATTATATCAGGCTCTCTCTTCCACTAAATTATTTATCTGCCCCTCCCCCCATTGGATTGGCAAGATTCTGAAATATTTGTTCAGATTCCTTTTGTTTCTTGTACTTGAGTTGTAGAACAAATGTGCTCCTCTTTTCAATACTAATGACAAGACGTGTCAAACTTACTGAGATTCAGTCTGGTTAAACCATCCAACTTCTGAATTGTTTATCTAAATTGCTAGGACACTTGTTATATCTGACATCTTTTGAAGTTGGCCAGAGTTCACCATCAGCAGACTTCCTGGATCGGACTGATGGCTGAATGTTTGTTCTGAAATTGAACTTGAGGAAAACTCCTGCTGCATATTTCATTGTATCACCTCTGTTTGGACCTTAATACAAATATCTCAATTCACTATATGTATTTTGCATTGCATTGGTACCAACTCATGAACAGATAATGACAATGTTTGAGTTACCACTTGCACAGATGTATTCGATCACATAATTTCACATTTGGATCTTTAAGGGACACAACCTAATTTATTTTTAAAAGTTCCAGTTTCTAACAGAGGAGCTTTTAAACATATCCTGAATTTATAAACCCCTGTTAGTGTTTTTACAAGGATTTTCATGCTCCCTCATTTTTTAAGGATCTTGTTAACAAAGGAGAAACTCTCTTACTATACAGGAGAACAGTTGGCCTGACTAGAGGAAAAATATTTTTCCTAATGTAAGTTATAATCTAAGGGTTAACTTGCATCTACTGCAGTTAAGTTTTCAGACAGAAATGTGATTTTTTTTTTTTTTAAACGTTGGCTGTGTCCCTTTAATTTGTGTAACACTTTCCATTTGATGTTAAGCCATATCTTATCCTTGCTTGGCTCTAACAGCATTCACAAAGTGGAGTAGTTTCGTTCATGTATTTCACTGTCTGAGACTGGTTTTGATAGATGAATTTACGAGGTTTTTAAAGAAAGTGTTAGCCTTTAATATTACCAGTAAAAGGTACTGGTCCTCTGCACCTTACTGTGGATCTTTATTAGGTAAGCTTCAGTAACAAAAACAGCTTAAATGTGAATGTGTACAGTAGAGACACCATTTAAATACATTGACTTTATACATCTGCTGCCTATCACATCACCTTGTAACTTTGCTAGCCTAGCTTGCACTTACCTAACTGACCTGTTTTATAACATTTTTTCTCTGATCAGCTTCTCTATCCATTGTCTTACACTAGCCTGAATTGTTAGACCTCTTATTAGCAGATTTTCCTCAATCACCTCCTGCAATACAGTGATGCATCTTGTCACTATGGTTTTTCGTGATTGCTAGATAAATTGTGACTACCTAACTTAATGGATAAAGTTAGATATCACTAATATTAAATGCAGCTTGCTGTAACTGGTTATAGGTTAATACTACTAGTGTTTGAAGTTGTGGTTAATTCTGAAATGGAAAACAGAAGTATGTAACTTCCTAAATAATGCAGCAGAAATGTAGTGGACCATCTAAATACCTATCTTGACAAACTGCAAACTGTTGAATTTGGTAGTGAAACCATAAACTATTGAAGCTGTAAAGTATGTAACACCAAAATAGTAAAAATTAATGCATATAAATGAAAAGTACAATAGTGCTGCAAGATTTAATATGATGGATCTGTTTTAAGTCACTAAAACTCTGATTCTGTGCAGCCTAGCGCACTTTGTCTTGCAAACAGTTATTTCTGTGGTGAGTGGGTCATGACCATGCTCTCTTACTGCAGGACCAGTACAGTATGAGGTGCATGCTAAGAGAAAATGTGCTTGTTTAAACAAATATTTTCACAAAGTACTAAGGCAAGAGTGTTTCAAGCTAACAACTTTTTTTGTATGATGTCCTTTTCAAATTTTCACCAGCGTGAAATTTTCTCTCATGTTTTGGGTAGAAACTTCTGTTATCAGACACCAACACAGTATCTCTACAGATGTACCTTGCTTTTAATCAAACTTCTAAAGTATGCGGCTGATTCAGTGAAACTGACCCATGAGATGTGAACTGAATTTCAAGAGCAGACTTACTGTAACAAAAGACAGCCCAGATTACAAATTTCTGAAAGAATATTTTCCTATAATCAAAGTGGACTTTCTCTAAAGTAGAAACTTCTTCTTCTTCACACTAAATAACACATTACATGGAATAAAATATAAATTCCATGAAAAATTACTGTAATACCACACAACATCCTTGTTCTTGGCAAAGGTCTTCCTAATTTTGTTCAGTGCATTTCAGGTAGAGCTGGACAAATAGCCATTCTTTATTAGTTTGCAATTTAAAAAGTCAAAAAAATTTTGAGTTGAACAAAATGTTTTGTCAAAATTAAAACGTTTTATTTCATTTTTGACCATTTTTAAATACTTGATTTTTTTTAATTACATTGTTGAGAATTTTTAAATAGAAAGTAGTTTCAAACCAGAAAATCAAAATGTTGCATTCTGAAAATGTTGAAACAAAATGTTCTGAATCTTTTGGAAGTTTTTTTTTGTGTGTGTGTGTGTGCCCCCCCCCCCCAACAATTTGGTGAAATCAAAACAAATTAGCAAAATTTT